CTCGGCGTCCGAGGCCTTGGCGGGGAAAGAGTGCCGCGCCAGCTTCCCTCCAACGCACGAGACACACGGCGGATCTGCTCTGGTCGACGGCGGGATGTCGAGCCCAACGGCAACTTCATGTTTCGCCGAGCTCTTGATCGTGTCGACGCCGACGTGCGCGAGCCTCGCATGCAACAGGGCAGGGTTTGTCTTCATCGCCGAGACAATCGTCCGCAGAGCCACCACCTCAGTCGACGGCGACCGCGTCGAGCAGGGGCGAAGGTTGGTGCAGAGGACTCGTCCAGTGTAGCGTGCTCAACCGAGCACCTCCCCGGTCGCAGCGACGAGCAGCATCTCGTCGCCGTCGCCCTGCAGCTGCACTCCGCTCTCCTTCAGTTGGCCAACTGACAGCAGGTTTGCCTGAACGCCCGGAATGTAGAGCACGTCGGGGATGAGGACCCGCTTCCCGGCCTCCCCCTGTAGAGCGACGGTTCCGCAACCCTCGACAGGCTGCAGCGCCCCGTTGAGTCCACGCACATGCTTCACGCCGTCGCTTGGCCCCATGTCGATGAAGACCGCCTTCGTCCCCATCAGGTGGTGGGAGCATCCGCTGTCAAGCAGCACCACCATCGGGTTGGCCTACACAGCTGCCGCCACCGCCTCAAAGTCCTCGCCAGCCTCCGGCGCCAGCGAGACTGTCGGCTCCACCACGCCGACCATCGAGCACGACTCCTCCCCGTCGCCTCGACCCTTGCCGCTGGAGCCGTCGACGTCCTTCGTCGACGACGTCGTCTTCGACATCTGCTTCTCCTTACGCGGCGGGGGCGACGACTGGCCATCGACCGCGACCTCCCTTGTTGTCGTCCTCGTCGCTGTCATCGCGGTCGGGGCACTCGAAGGAGAGATGGACGGGGTCGCCGCAAATCCAGCACTCCTGCCGTCGACCACCAACTCGTCGGCCCTTGTCCCGCGTCGACCTCTTCTCGTCGACGTCCTTCGTCGACCGCCCACCTCCGCTACCACCTCCGTCTGGCTTCCCGCGCTGCTCCTGCTGACGATTCGACTTCGTCGGTGCAGCGTAACTCGCCTGCGGAAGGAACTCCGTGGGCTGCTCTGCCTCCTGCATCGCCTCATCCTGAAGGATGTAGCCGGTAAGGGAGTCCTCGTCGAGGGATTCAGGCACCATCGTAAACCTCTTCATGAGGTTGTAGCTGCGCGGCAGGCCCTTGAGGACGTGGGTGATGTAGGACGCCGTCGAGTATTCGGCGCCCGCCATCCTCATCTCAGCTAGGATCCGTCGAGCTCGGTTGCAGACTCATGGTGGCCCATTCGAATGTGAGTCATCTTCGCCTCCAGCTGTCCGATGTACAGGTCGTCCCTGGCCTGGTACGTCGACATGATGAAGTGCCATGCCTGGTGACCAGCATCCAGTCGCTCTCGACAGCTCTTGAGCGCTAGCTGCACCACCGGCGAGTAGCACCTCGATATGACCATGAAGGTAAGCAGGTGAGCAGAACAAAACTCCCCGTGCAGCTCAACATCCTCCTCGGGCGGAATTGGCACGGTGCCGTCGGCGAAGCCCTTCAGCCCGGCGACCTCAAACTGAGGTTCGATCGACTCCCTCCAGGTGATGAGGTCCCGTCGACCTTGCAGCGGTGCGACGGTGATCCGGTCCGGCGAGAACTTGAAGTAGCCATACGCCGGTGCAATCCCGCCCGCCGTCACATGCGTCGTCACCGAGAGCCCTCCACCACTTCGTAGAGGAGAGCGACGTCGAACATCGACGTCGGCACGAGAGCTGCCTGCAGCCGCCGTCAACCGCTGCACTCGCGCCTGGATTCCGTCGACACCACCGTCGACCTTGATCACCCCTCTCTGCCTCGTGCCTTTGCTGGCGCTGACTCGTGCACCACCGTCGACCTCATCGTCGACGCCACCCTCGTTGCGCACCAGTCGAGGAGATGCAGGACGGGAAGGGTGTTCTGTCGCCCACTGCGACCGGATGCCCAACTCGACGATCAGCAAGGGGATCGTCCCGTACTCGCCATCCGCGTGGCATTTCCTCGCATCAGCCAAGCATGTCTCCAAGGTGTCCGCTACGCCCGCATCAACAACGGGGTCGACCATGGCGACTATCGCTGCTGCCGGCCTACGAACGACTTAGTAGGTGCAAAAGTTGGCTCCTATCTGAAGGTAATTTGCGGGGCCGTCCACGCTCACCGCACCATGCGGAGAGTCACTCTACAACGGTAGTGAGCTTGACTACGGGGGTTGGCACGAACTACTAGGAGTGATCGTAGCTTTGCTTGGTTCCTTAGTGCTTGCACATTCACGGGAGTAATCGGCAAGAGTTTCCACTAGCAAAGTTGGAATTACAGAATGATTGAACAAGCGATGGCAACAATGACTACATTAGGCACCTAGCAACCCTGCAGCTAGCCTGGTCGACCGCCAGTACAGCTCGGTCGACCGCCTGCCAGTGTTGCGTAGAGGAGCCGCGCCAGCACTGCAGAAGGGCGACCTGCCAACAGAGCAGGTCGACGGCGTGCCAACGCTGCAGCAGAGCGGCTGTCCAGCGTTGCCCCGTAGAACACAGCATTGCGCACGCTCTCAGGTGCGCGCAGACGATTGGCCCGTCTTGCCTCGTTGGGCATCCGTCGGCTGTTGTCTGCGCCTGACGAGCCACATCGACTTCGGGATATCAGTCCGAAGTTGCCTGTGCCATTGCGACCTTGACGACGTTCGCGTGCCTCCGCAGAACTCGTCGAGCAGGTTACCCGGTCGACCCGGTCGACCACGAGGTGCCCCTGGTCGACCACAGCTCCCGTCGAGCTACCCTCTAGTCGACGGACCCCTTCCGTCGACCAGAACCGTCAGCGGTTGTCGCCGAGCTCCCCTCGTCGACCGCTGCTCACTTGTCAGGTCGACGGCTGCTCCGTCGACCTCCCCGGTCGAACTGTAGGTCGACGGGCCTCTGCCTCAACCTCCCGGTCGAACTGCAGGTCGACCGGAAGCTCCGTCGACCTCCCGGTCGAGCTGCAGGTCGACGGACTGCTCCGTCAACCTCCCCGTCGAACTGCCCCTCCTGGTCGACGATCCACCAGTCGCCCAGACCAGTCAGTTGCAGCTGTCGAGCTCCCTGGTCGACAGCAACACCACAGCGGTCCCCTGCAGCTCGACGAAACCTATCGAGCAGCTCTCCCACTGTGAACGGTCGGCTGCTACTCCCGTACATCCGACCAAGTCGTCGGCGTTGCCCAAGCGAGGGCGGGGCCAACCTCCATTCCCGTTAACAGAAGCGTCCTCCGAAGTAGCGCCTGGACTAGTGTCTACACAAGTGCCTACACTAGCAACAGGCAACTCAGCAAGACTAGCACCTAAGCTAACAACACTCGAGTAAACAGAGTCAGAAGCACTAGAGTCAACAACAGCATACATAGCATGAGGAGTTCCTAAGAGATCAAGCAGCTGAGAAGCAGACATGCCCCAAAGAGCGGAGCCGTACGTCTGAACAAGAGGAAACCAGTCAGGGGCAGGGCCACCAACGCCGAAGGCCAAGCGAACCGTGTCAGTGAGCTGAGCAAAGCACGGACCAGGAGGGTGGGTGGGGCCACAAGGGTGGCCTCGGCAAGCACCTGTCAGAACCTAATAGGTGCACGAAGGGTGAACAACACCTTGCTGGGGCTGACACTGTCCTGGCCTCGAAACCTGCTGTTGCCGTTGCTGCTGCGGGGGCTGCTGCAAGGGGAGGGGCTGCTGCTACTGCACCTGCTGCTGCCGCTGCTCCACCCACCGCGGCCGGCAGACCAGGAGGAGGCTGACGAGGCCGGGTGTCGCCTCCACCAGCTGCAGTAGGGGAGTCACTGGCCGCTGCACGAGATGCCTCTCCAGGCCTTGCGCTCCCGCCGCCACCGGTCGGCACGCCACCCCCACCACCTCCGCCGCCAACGCCGCCACCGCCGCCGCCGCCTGCACCCTAACCGCCCCTCCTGCCACCCCTTCCCCGAGACCGTGACGAAGTCATAACAGCAGTTGCGGTCACGTCAGTAGTGGCAGCGGCTAGTGAGGCAGTAATAGTGGGCAGCTGAGGGACAGTGCACCCATGAAACAGTGGAGGGAGCACAGCACCAGAGGCGGAGGCTACGGAGTGGATGTTGCTCTCGACGTCCTTGAGCGCAGACTCAAGGACCTCGATAGTGAGCTCACTAGGGTGCTTCAGAAGAAGCGTGTCACGAACCGAGGCAGGGCGGTCAGGGAGGCTAGTGGCAATGAATTAGATAGTAATCGCCATGGGAGGGGGAAGGAGTGCAAGCTGTGCGTCAGTGCAAGCAGCGAGGTAGCTAGAATCGAGTGAGCGGAGGTGAGCAATCAAGTCAGCAGAGCGCTCAAACGAGGCGAGGTCAGGGAACAAGAACGGCAGGAAGAGGCGGCCAAGAGAGACAGTGGTGGGAGTAGCGTAGCGGGCCTTGATCGCAGTCAGGAACTCACTAGCAGTGCAAACCTGAGTGAAGTGGGCCTCCTCAGACTTAGGGAGGATGCTGCTAAGAGCGATGCAGGTCGCAGCGTCACGCGACTTCCACGCCGTCAGGTCAGCACGCTGGCGGGTAAAGCGGTCTCTGGCGGTGGCGTCAAGGGCAGGGCCTAAAGGCGTAGGGTCGTCGGGCGCAGGAAGGTCACCGGTAGCGTGCGCCCAGAGGGACTCGCGCGCGTAGGAGCCAGACCGGAAACTCGAGCGGTCTACCGTCAGCGTCAAAGCGAAGAACCCTAGGGGTCGCCATAGCGTAAGCAGAAACGACAAGTCCGGCTGCGGGCGGCACTGGTAGGGGGGGGGCTATGGCAACACCGGGGCAGGTGCAAAACGCAGGCGCGACAGGCGCAAGGGGTGGTCCAGCGGTGGACTGAACGAGTAGGCGCAGCAGTGTGAAGGGAGGGCCTAACGAGCGGGCGCGGCGGCTGAAAACGAGGGCCCGCAACGGGCCTAACGAGGAGGCACGGCGGCTAAAAGGGAGGGCCCGTGGCGGCTATAAGGGAGGGTCCGCAGCGGGCAGTGCGGGCAGGCGCGGCGGCGGGACGAGCGAGCCCACGTCGGGCCTAACTAGGAGGCGCGACGGCGGGCAGGAGGGGTAGGCGCGGCGGCAGGACGAGCGGGCCCACGGCGGGCCTGACGCGTAGGCGCGGCGGCGGGCGGCGCAAATAGGCGCGGCGGCGGGACGAGCAGGCCCGCGGCGGGCCGAACGGGCAGGCGCGGCGGCAGGCACGGCGCGCGAACGGGCGTGTAGGGCAGCGGGGGGAGGGCGCGTCGCGACGAGCAGCGGGGGAGGGCACGACGGGACGGGAAGTGGGGGAGAGCGCGACGCGACGGGGGGCGGGGGAAGGCGCGACGCGACAGGCAGCGGGGGAAAGGCGCGTGTTGACGGGCAGCGGGGGGAAAGCGCGACTCGACGGGCAGCAGGGGGTGGGAAAGCGCGACGCGACGGGCAGCGGGGGGCGAGGGGGGGGGGGAGGGCGCTATGCTATGGGGAAAGCGGGTCGGCGGAACGGGCGGTAACGAACGAACGGGACTAGATCGGGCCGGCGCTAGGCTCGGGCAAGACGGGCGCAACTAGTACGACAGTGTGAGACACGCTCGGGCGAGGACGGGAGGAGCGGGATCCCACAGGATCCTAACCTAGGTGACACCATGTCAAGAATAGAAGTGTGTGTTCATTGATGTGGGTTGGGGTACATATAACAAACTCTAACATCTGTACCCCCTAAGACAAACCTCACTACAGGCTACAACATTTGACAGTCGCATACCTTCAACAGCACAACTCAACCAAGGCTACAACATGAGCATGCGTGTGTGAGTGTGGGGCTCACATAAACAACAGCATCTACACCAGGAGCAAGAGTGGTGGTGATGCACTTGAAAATAATATTGGTTATGATGACCAACCATAGCCAGTACAAACCACAAAGCAGCTATAATTTATAATCAAAGCAAACAATGGAGTTCTCTAGAAACGAAAGTTTAGCTATGCTATGGCCGCAGCTGTAGTAGCTAACTCACAAACATCCAATCCAACCCTGGGGAGAAGTGAGTGCAGCTAGCACAATGTGTTGCGTGACGCAACACAGGAAAGGTCCATCACGGACTAGTTTGGCTCCTCACAAGCATATGCCGCTTCCTAACTACCATATGACAAACTACAATATGCCTAATTTTCACTCTGCAGGAGGAAACCCCTCAGGGCAGCTGAATCCCCATTCTACTCCTTGGTCATCCCTACTGAAACTTGAGAACAGGCTTACCAACATAAAGAACCGTCTTGCCTGCCATCGCATTGAAGCAGGCTGCACCAGAAGCATACCAGGCTGGTATAAGAAGCACAAGGAGAGTGAAAGGTTCGGAGGGGGGAGAGCGTCAGAGAGAGTAGACAGAATGAATGACACGCAGCAACAAGCCAGACTCAAGGTTTTGCGGAATGAAGTGACACAGCCGACGCCACTACAGAATTCAGAATTTCCCTCACCAGCAATGGCAGTAAAGAGGCCAAAGATGCCACCAGCCTTGATCCACCCCTGTCCAGCATGCTGGTGGTCGAAATTCCTGATGAAGAGTAGCATGAGGGTGATCTCGAGCAGAGTGAAGACGAGCAGCACGGCATGGTTTGCCATGAACGCGCACACAGTCATGTAGCTGTTGAAGATGAAGAAACCCGACAAGAACCAGCTAAGAGCCTCTGACACGTCGGTGGCTTGAAGCAGAGTGGTCTGCAGTAACAAATGTGGGAGAGCGGGAAAGGAGCAGCGGGAATTACTATCAACCCTGTTCACATGATGATGGTGAATGTAACGGATCAGAAGCTTCCAATTTGGTCCAGAGCGCATCCTAAATCGTCGCAGAACAAGGGCGAATTTGGCTGGTACTTACGTAACCGAGAATCTTGAGGAGAACGAAGAAGGCCAGGCCCATCCAGAAGGCGCCGTAGGTAGAAAATGCGGTGGCGCCAAAGGTGTTGTTCTTCTTAAACTCCCACATGACGGCCAGCAGTTGCGCGAGGCCGCCATAGAACGCGAGGCCGACCCAGATAATGTCGGAAGCCCAGCCGGCGTTGTGGCACGAGAGGACGTACGTCGTCAGCGCGAACGCGGTGAGTCCGAGAGGGGCAGGGTCCGCGATGGCGCTCTTCTCGACGACCACGCGAGCTTCCTCCCTAATATCCATATCAATGGATGATGCTTCGGTGTAGGTCTTAAAAGACGTCTGAAGCCGAGGTGGTCAAATCGTGCGGACGACCTGAGAGATAGAAACGAAAATACAAATCATGGATGACTCAATGCGGAGTCAAACGGATCGCCAGCTGGATGTGGAGAGTTTGGGGTGCGGATGACGACACCTGAGAAAAGCCGACCAATTGAGGAAGGTTGCTGACAAGGTCGGCTAGTAGCAGCCAGGAGCCGAAGTTCGAAGAACAACGGCGGGGAAGGGCTGTAACGGAATGGTGGATTGCTCTCGGTATGGTTTGAGAGAATGAGTATTTCGATTGCTAGGCGGACCTTTATACCATTGTATGCCTACACTGCTTATCCTCCTCCCAGCCATCGCGGCTCGCCTGGGAGGGACAGTAAGCCGGCCGTTGGAGTCGCCACCAGGCGATGCGGTGCGAATGTCCATGTCAACGTCATCTAGCGCGTAGCGCAAAGTTCGACTGTGGCAATACGAGCTCCAACTGGGTTGTTGAGATTGAGTTATAGAAAAAGCGAAGCCGTGCTGTTACGCGACGCTTCAGTGCCCCTGACGTGGCGATGCGGTTTCAGGACTAAGGGGACGGCGCACCGCTGTTGAGCTGTTTTAGGTTACTGGTGATGTAAAACACGTGCCATGTCACTTGGAGAGAGGTTTTCTCTGCAAAAAAATTGGGCCCCAAACTTAGTTTGTGCAGTGCGTAGAGTTTGCTAAAAGTACTTCCGACGCACCAATGCTCGTGGTTTATCATGTGCATTGCTCAACAGTAGAGGTTTGTTTGATGTTTCATCACTAGGTTTGCGTAAGCAATCTTCCACAGGCTCGGCAAAGAGTGTGTGAGCACTCTTCCAAAGGCTCGGCAAGGAGTGTATTTGCTTTGCGCCAGCGTTGCCCAGCCTTTTGGAGGCTCGGCAACGAGTGTGTGAGCAATCTTCTGAGGCTCGGCAAGGTGTGCATGAGCTTAGCGCCAACATTGCCCAACCTTACTACCGTACAACAGCTGGGGGAATTCCTAAAAAAGGCTTACTGTAACGGAACAAAAGAGTTGCTGTTATGCTTGCAATGACAAATAATTGTACAGAAGTAATAATTTACAGATTGTTACAAGCAATGACATGTGCTATCTCAATCAATAACACAGGAGCACCAAGTAGGAATTTATAAAACAAAGCCTATGTACCCGCTTACAGTAAAACCTGCACACAGCATAGTAGTAACAGTTTGCAACCAGGGGGAGGCTGTACTGAGCAGCAACCAACAAACATAGTGGAGCTAGGTTAGCATAAAAAAGAAGTTAAAGCTCGCGTCTCATATTTTCTTGTTCCAACCATGTGTTAAAGCCAGGATCTCAAGTAGTTTGGCTGTTTTGCAGTTAGTGAATTGTGTTAGGCTGTGATTGGTTGACGAGGTAGAGTAGTTGACGAGAGCTGAAACGAGGGATGCGAAGCAAACAAAAATCGCAGTGAACTTCCGAACCAACTAGGCACGGAAATCTGGTTGGGTTCCGAAGCTCATTTCCCAGCAATGTGTCTCACTTGCCGAAAAATCTCATGCACAGCAATTTGTTTTGCAATTGAGATTCACGGTCAAATCGGGGATCAGTCGCACACTGAACCTCCAACCCAACCACTCGATTTCGCCTAAACAAACAGGGTGACTCGAGCTGCAAGTGTTTTGCAATTGAAGCCAATTTCTCTTACTTGAGATCCTGGCTTTAAACGCTTGGGATCCTGTTTTGTCGCACAACACCCCCAAGCAAGGGTTGGGTTTCGGAAGGTTGGTTGGGAGTGGGAAGGCCCCGCAAATCAAATGTACAGTACAAACAACATGGGGTGATCCAGGGTATGGTTACGCCAAACCAAGTTGGGAGACAGACCTGCACGACGAAACCACAGGGTGCGACATCAGAGTGTCGCACTCTCCCGCGTGCACACCAAGCATTTTACAGGGGTCGGAAATATGAGACCTAGAACTCTACCAATCTCACAAGGAGCGTAGTTTCAGCACCACAGCAAGTGTTTTACGCATACCGATCACACGTCCTAGAGTACACCTACCTCAGCAAAGTCCTCATAGGTCAATCACCAAGACCCTCATATACTACTCAGACAACCAACTACCTCGAGACGCGTTCCCGATCACTACGTCTTCCGCCCTGCACCGTTATTTCCCAGCCCGCGCACGTCACAATCTAGAATGCCAGCAAGGTTGATCCTTGTTATCCATTGCCGTCGCGGAGCTGCCAGTATACGCCTTGCCTCGCACTCCTCCACTGCCTTTCCCCCGGTCAGCTCGACGGTTTAGGGTTATAATTCATTTCGAAATCGAGCATGACGGAATGTCTGAAGATGGCGGAACGATATACGGGTTGATAAGGGTAGATCTTCTTGCTGATCGTGAACCATGTCCTGGTAATTGGTCGCGTCAGGAAGAAACGCGACGGGACAGGACGGTAAGGGATGGGACGGGACGTGAAGGGAAGGTAGGAGATGCGTCGGGAAGGGACAAGACGCAACGGAAAGGGACGGCTCGAGACGGGTACAGAACGGTACGGGAAGGGACGGGATGGGACGTGACGGGAAGGACGGGATGCGACGAGACGGGACGGGAAGGGAAGGGACTGGAGGGGACGCCACGGGAAGGGACGGGATGCGACGGCGGGTGACGGGACGGGAAGGGATGGGACAGGAGGGGACGCGACGGGATGGGTAAGGGACATGATACGACGGGAAGGGAAGGTGATATTCTAGTGCAGCGGGTGTGAACTGCAGGTGAAGCATACGCACAAATGCTCCCCATCCTTCCTGTCTCCGAACCCTCCTCCCCACCCTTCCACAATCTGTGTTTCCGTCGTCACTGTTGGTCGCACAAAGTGCAAACTTCCCAAACCTGTCCCGTAAGTGGTTCGGATGTGACCCAAACCTGAGCCTGAGCTCTTGTGTTGACCTCAACACTGGAACTTCGCCCATATATTTCCCCCGCTCGTCAAAATTTTCGTCACTCGTTAACCAATCAGGATCTTACTTTCCCAACCAAGTGTTAAAGCAAGGGTGCAATTTGGGGGGGGTGGAGGCAAAGGTTTATCACTTGCCTTTGGGTGGTTACCCGGTTTGTGGTTGGGAGTCAAACGCGAACCGAAGTTCAGTATTGGCGGACTTGCGCGGTTAGTCTCCTCCCCCTTCGTCAGTTGCGACGGGCCCATTGGGAGTTGGGAACTTGATTCAGACCAGGCAGTTTGTGACCATCGTGACTCTCTAAGGGCGAGTCCAGCGCGTACGTTTACAGGTACTATACAGTTCATTTGTCGTGGTTTGAAAAGATATCAAACGGTGCACAGCGGTTTTGAAATTGCACCGTTTTGAGACGTGACGCAATACAGATTACCGCACTGGATGAACTGTAATGTACGGAAAACGTACGCGCTGGACACGCCCTAACCAGCTCACTCATATTCCAAGCAGAGGAATAGCTTAGCAACCACCCCCACAGCGCACCGCTATCATCAGAGCGTTAGTTCTTCTGACGATAGACTAGACTGGGGGCGTAGCACAGTTAGCCGGGTCGTAATGTCACTCCCGTGCTAGCCCTTCAAGTTCAGCGCGCCGCCCAGTGTTTATCTCCCTTGCACTTCGGCGCTTCCACCAAATCTATGGCAGTGTCCATTTAGTGCGCATTTCGCCGCGACAGCGCACTCAGATCGTCGTCTAGGGTTAACATGCGTGCTGCATCCCGCACGTTGCGTGTTGTCGTTTTCTCGTCCAAGCGATCGCTAGCCATCCGAGGCCGCCGCCAATCGCAGCAAAGCGGTTCCTCGCTCCGTAGCGCCATATGTGCAACGATCGGCGGCGCGCGACGGTGTGCGGAATGGCGACCAACCGCGCGCGACGGTGTGCGGAATGGCGACCAGCCGCGCGCGACGGTGTGCGGAATGGCGACCAGCCGCGCGAGACGGTGTGCGGAATGGCGACCAGCCGCGCGCGACGGTGTGCAAGGTGGCGACTTGCCGCGCGCGACGGTGTGCAAGGTGGCGACTTGCCGCGCGCCACGGTGTGCGGAACGACGACTTGCTGCGTACAACGGTGTGCTACCTCTTTCTCTCCCTTACTCCCCTGCTATACACCTTTCTCTCCCTTATGCCCTCTTCTATACCCCTTTCTCACCCTAACTCCCCTCTTATACACCCGTTTCTCTCGGTTACTCCCCTCTTCTATACCCCTTTCTCTCCCTTCCTCCCCTTTCCCTGTCCTATCTCCTGACTCCCTGTCCTATTCCCTCACTCCCTATCCTATCCCCTCACTCCGCCCTGTCCTATTCCCTCACTCTCTGTCCTATCCCCTGACTCCTTGTCCTATTCCCTCACTCCCTGTCCTATCCCCTCACTCCGCCCTGTCCTTTTCTCAGCCCCCCTTTTCCCCCTTTCCCTTCTTCCCCAACTCCCATGTTCTCGCTTCTCCTTATTCGACACCCTTTCCCTTTCTTCCACCCCTCTGTCCCTTATTCGCCTTCCTTGCTGTCCTCTTGGCCCTCTCCCTGCCCCCTCACCCTTGCCTGCCCTCCATCCCCTCACCTCCCTCCCTTTCCACAGGCAAGCTCCCCTCTCTCCCACCGCTGTCCGGGATTGAGTAGTGGGGAAAACGTAACGGGAACCGGAATGTGTAGCGAGGAGGCGTGAGGCGCGGACGGGAATGAGCAGCGATAACGCAGAGGTGCGAGGGGGATGGGGCGAGAAAGCATGAGGGTGTAAGCAGCGATTAGCGAGGGAGGTCAGCAGCGAGAAGGATGAGGGGAATAATTAGAAAGAAAGCAGGGGGGGTTTGGCAACGAGAAACGCAAGGGGGGGTTGGGGGGCCGCGGGGAGTGGACGAGTAGCGAGAAGGCGAGGGGGGGGAAGGGGGGGGGGGGGGGGGAGAGGAAATAAGCAGCAAGAAGGCAGGGAATAACCCTTACTCCCTTCTCTGCCCTTTCTACTCTCTCCCTTACTCCCATCTCTTTACCCTCTCTCCCTTACACCCATCGCTCCCCTCTGCTATACCCCTGGGAAATCCCTCTTGCCACTCGCTCGTTCACTCTCTCTCCATTCCCTCCCAACCCCAATGGATCTCCCCCATGACGGGGCTTCCATCAATGTCATCTCTCCCCCCTCTTCCCGCTGTCGCAGCTCTTCCCTCCCTCCCCCATCTTTCCCTCTCTCCTCTCTCCACTCTCTGTCCTACCTCCCTTCCCCGTCATTTCCTCTCAGAGAGGCAGCTTCTCCCCTCCCTATCATCTCTCCCCTCCCTGTCATCTCTCCCCTCCCTCTCATCTCTCCCCTCCCTGTTATCTCTCCCCTCCCTGTTATCTCTCCCCTCCCTGTTATCTCTCCACCATCTTTCATCTCTCCCCTCTATGTTTTTTCACCATAAACCCGGATATTTATCCCCTCCCTATCATTTCTCCCCTCCCTGTCATTGTTCACCTCTCACTGCAACCTCCCCTCCCTTCCCTATCTCCCATATCTGTCCTCTCTCCAAACCTCTGTATTTACTCCCGTAAATGTCCTATTTGCCCCGAAAACACTGGGCAATCTTCCTTCTTTGTAAATACTCCAGTCCCTGTTCCGTCTCCCCTACCTAAGCATCCTTGGCATGGTGTGGCAGGGCATGATGTGGCAGGGCATGGCATGGCATCATGGCATCTGCAGGTAGCAGCGGGAGGTGGAGCACGTTGGAAGGCACGCAAGCAAGACTGGATTGGGAAGGAAGGAATGGAGGAGTGGAGGTGGGAGGTGTATAGCACGTGGCATGCTCCCTCATCAAAATCACATAATACATGCTCTGTTGAGAGCTTAGCTTGGCGTCTGTTCCGGTTTCTGATCCATCAATGGATGAACAATCAGGATGCTCGCCTTGTAAAATTGACATAATACCGTAGTGCCATAGCATGGTCGGGAGATGGTACTGCATTATGTTACTCATGCAAGCATCTACTGCATTTATTCAAGGATTATAGTGGCACATTCCTGAAAATAACATACAGAATGTGATCTGCTGTAGGGTAATTAGGGCTCAGAAGTTCATTGTGTATAAGCAGGGAACTGCCTTGATGTCAGACAAGAGAGGACGGGAGGGACGGCAGAAGATATGAATGCAGGGTATGAACGCAGGGAGGCGAGGACTGGGGCAGGTAGATCTGCCCAAAAGGGACAGACACGAAAGGCTTTAGATGTGAATGGAAGGATGTGGAGTGTTGAGAGGATGTGTGGTGCTGGGAGGGAGGGATAATGAATAATGCAGGGTGGTAGTGAAGGGTGTTGTTACAACGTAAGGAGGTGAGACAATGTAGGGTGTTTGAAATAACGTGCGTGGTGAGAGGACCACGATAATTCAAGCCGCTGAGCATTGAGAAGGAGATGCAGAGAGGATGGCAAGACAGGAGCGGCGGGAGCAGGAGGTACGACCTGGAAAATGGAATACGAGAGGAAGGACTGGACATGGAAAATGGAAACAGGGAAGTAAGGGAACGCAGGGGAGTGATGGAGTGGAAGCGGGGGGAAACTGATGGAAGGCAAAGGCAAAACTGAGGACAAGCAGCAAGGAAACTGAGAGGGCAAGCAAGAGGGAAACGGAAGGGAATGAGGGGCTCACCTGAGGGCAAGCAGGGGGAAATGGAGAAGGGAGGGAAACGAGGGAGATAGGAAGATGGGGGAAAATGGGGGGAAGCAGAGGGCAATGAGGGGGTAGGAATAGAGAAAGCAGAAGGGGAAACTGGAAGGGAAGCACAAAAAAATGAGGGGAAGGAGAGGGCAATGAGGGGGTAGGAATAGATAAAGCAGAAGGGGAAACTGGAAGGGAAGCACAAAAAAATGAGGGGAAGGAGAGGGCAATGAGGGGGTAGGAATAGATAAAGCAGAAGGGGAAACTGGAAGGGAAGCACAAAAAAATGAGGGGAAGGAGAGGGCAATGAGGGGGTAGGAATAGATAAAGCAGAAGGGGAAACTGGAAGGGAAGCACAAAAAAATGAGGGGAAGGAGAGGGGGGAACGAAGGGGAAGCAGAGGGGGGAACGAGGGGAACGAGTGAGGGGGGAACGAGGGGAAGGAGACGGGGGAAACGATGGGGAGGAAGGATGGAGAGGAAGGGAGGAGAGATGGGGAGGGAGGACAGAGCATAAGAGATGGGAGGTGGGAAAGGAGGAGAGATGGGAGGATGGGGGAAGAGACGCGAATAAAAGGGAAGGGAGAAGAGGGGTAGGGAAGTGCAGGGAGGTGGAGAAAAGGGACGGGAAGGAAAGGAAAGCAAAGGGAAAGAAAGGAATCGGAGTGGAATGACGGCGAATGGAGTGGGCAGGTGCGCTGTGAAGGGGAGCACGGAGGTGCGACCTGGGGGGAAGGGGAGGTGTGATCTGGGGGGAAGGGGAGGTGCGGCCTGGGGGGAAGGGGAGGTGCGACCTGGGGGGAAGGGGAGGTGTGATCTGGGGGGAAGGGGAGGTGCGGCCTGGGGGAAGGGGAGGTGCGACCTGGGGGGAAGGGGAGGTGCGGCCTGGGGGCAAGGGGAGGTGTGATCTGGGGGGAAGGGGAGGTGCGGCCTGGGAGGAAGGGGAGGTGCGACCCGGGGGGTGAGAGGGTTAGAAGAGCAGGAGGATATAGCGATCGGGGTTTTGGAGTGGGAAAGAAATTATAGGAATGGGAAGGGTAGGGGAGAGAGGGGTTTAAGAATGCAAGTGTGGGAATGGAAGCGACAGGATGTGAAGGGGAGGGTAGTGTAGAGAGGAGGATAGGGTGGAGAGTGAGAACAAGGGAAGAACAGCCGATTTCGACCCTGTATGTGACGAGGCGGCGGTGGAGGCGAGGGCGGTGAGGAGGCGATGCAGCAGGTGGCGACGAGGAGGCGAGGCGGCTAGGCGATGATGTGGCGGCGATGTGGCGATAAGGTGGCGAGGCGCCCTCGTTGAGTAGTCCTACCACGGCTTCGACTGCGCCGCACACCTTCTTGCACAGTACTCGCCGGCTGCACACCCTACACTGCAGTTTCTGATCCTAGCGAGGAACCCGACTGTGCGCGCGGTAACGCGGAAACGTACACTGCACTTCCTGCTCCTCGCCTGAGTCGCGGCGTTGGGTGCAAAAATTACAACCGTACACTTCAATTACAAGGGAGAATCACGGCTTACGGCAAGGTGGCGTGGAAACAGACCCTTCACGACGTGTGGAAACCCGGAATCGCGCCTGTGGGAACGGTAGCGTGGGGAAGTCGCTACGCTACCTGCCGCTGGCGGAGATCGCGGCTGAGGGAGTGGTGGCGTAAAACATATGCCTCGTGACCTTATGCTAGCAGGTTTCTTGCATAAGGGCGCGGTTTCGTGTGGCGTCCACTTGGCGACCTGCTGCTAGCGGGAGTGATAATCTCGTAGCTAATTATGGTGCCTTCGCTTTCTAGATTGGAGTTTGCTTTGTGGGAGTGGATCATCTCGAGTGATCACTTGGTTGGTTGCGCCAACATTTTGTTTCCGCCCTTCCGCCTGGTTTTCCCCAACCCAACCTCCGTACGAAATTGGCTGGTGTCGCCTGCCTTCTGTCAATTCCTCGCACCAGCTTTACGTACCCTAAACAGTTCGCCCCCGAATCAGGACGCGCCAAAGGGTGTACTCTGACAATACACCCAGAAACCACCCGTAGGAAAGTGCACCGTCGCTTTAAACACTAGTAAATACGAGACGCGAGCATTTAGCATAAAACTCCCAGCAGCTGCATACCTTTCATATGGCGTGAGTCGATGTGTCCAGGAACAATTTGCTGGAAATGCTTATCTTCAAAAAACAAAAAAAAACTTGACGATAATATGGCGACGAGGAACAAACGCGAAGTAAATATGGCGATGGGGAGAATAATAATCTCGGAAGTCGATAATCACGCGCAGATGTCATGCGCGGGTCGTACTCCGCGCATAAATAGGTACCCACACGTTCGTGTTATTGACAGAAACTCCCCTACTGTGCACATGAAGGACAGCGAGCGTAAGTCGTGAGACGGTAGCGTAATCGCGAATCTCTTGCCGCGGGAAAAAGGTTCATTGGTACCGTCCGGCTCGAAAGATGATCAATATCCTGCTGGTGGGAGGATGTAAGACGGAGAGAAGAGCGACGAATAGGTCAGTACTCGTATTATCAGGAATTAAACGCAATCCGCCAGAGCAACGCGCAAGCTGAGGACCTAAGAGCATGGAGAATGATACGAGATTATGAGAGGGCTGTTCTATGGGTGGAGTATGAATAGCGAGAGAAGTGTCCTTCGCACCAAAAAGCACTGAGTTGGTGTCGTTTCGTAAGAGCGGATTGGCGAAACTTAAGCGAAGTGACTTGCGACAACTTCGATGGTGTGGATTTGGCCTCCTCCCTAGATTGAGCGTCACAGCAGTCGCAAGGCACATCCGCGCTGTCACATCCAAGTGTGTTGTCACAGTTCCTTGACGCGTCAGCAGGGCCTTATCTGAAACAAACTCGTTATGGACTGTTACTGTATAACGTCACAACTTTCTGCCGAGGCAACAATGAACCCTAAGCACGAGTTCAATGTACCGCTGCACATCCAATACAACCGTAGAATATCTGCTGTACCACACAAAATTGGCACGTGTGGGGCTGCTGGGGTGCGAATTGCAAGTATCTGCTGAGACAATGGGGAAGGGGGAACATTGTTGCCACCTACGCGACATTGGTTCTGCATTGTTTTTCTCCAAAGACGATGCTTCGAGATACCCTAGTCATTCTCCGTGCAATAATGAGCCCGCATGCATGGGGAAAACCCAGATTTGGGCATGGATTGTGGCGTATATTTTTTTGCTGAGTTATCGAAATCTCGGATATGTCGGTTGGCTGGTGGCGATATGTCAATTGGCGGGGGCTGGTATCTGAAATCTTGATAACACTATCTTATGTCTACACTGCTTATCCTCCTCCCAGTCATCGCGGCTCGCCTGGGAGGGACAGCAAGCCGGCTGTTATAGTCGCCACCAGGCGATGCGGTGCGAATGTACATGTCAGCGTCAGCTTGCGCGTAGCGCAAAGCTCGACCGTGGCAAAACGAGCTCGAACTGGATGTTGAGATTGAGTTATAGGAAATGCGAAGCCGTGCTGTCATGCGACGCTTCAGTGCCCCTGACGTGGTTTTGCGATTCGAGGACGAAGGGGACAGCGATCCGCTGTTGAGCTGTTTCGGCCAACTAGGGAGGTTATAGCGAAACGTCGGATATGTCTGTTGGTATCTGATTACTGTTTTAGGTGGCAGATAAGCCAGTTGGCGGGTGCTTTACAGTGTTTGGAAATTAGATAAGGAAGTGCGGTCTTACAGAAATCAAGCTTGTAAGAGTACAGACAATAAATCACACAAACATTTCAACGGCATTTGAAGTCCATGCTTGAGCGAGGAG